AAAATGTTGTTTTTCCCAACGTTTTTATTTTATCTATTTTTTTTCCCTCAACTACTTTTCTGCTTCTGGTGCTTGGTATTACATGCACACTAAGTGTTCAATCATTTTCCAAAAAAAATCAAATAAGTCATATACAACTACATTCTCACAACAGACCTTACTTGTCATCTCCATCCTCAAAACCTTCCAACCCCATATACACTATTTGATCGAACCCATAATCAACATCACCACCGCCTCACAACTCTAATTCCACTCACAAACACAATTCGACCTCTTTTGTTTGGTTGTGATATTATATAATCTTATTTACATTAGATTTACTTATTCATGACATATGTGTCATACATTTTTTTTGTGTATTGTGCCACTGTGATAATTTATTGTGCATTGCATCATGTCAATGTATACAGTATGACATTGACTTGTAGTAGTGTGACATTTGTTTATAGCAGTGTGAATTTGGCTAGTATTAGTGTGACATTGTCTTATAATACTATGACATTTATGTATACCACTATGTCAATGTGACATGTACCACTATGTCAATGCGACATGTACAATTATACAAATATGGCATGTACCGTTATATCAATCCAACTTATGTCACTGCTACTTATAAACACAATGAATAACATACATATAAATTTAAATTTAAAATATCCATAAAAAAATAATCATAACAACTAATGGTATTATATAAAATGAAAAAAATATATTCATCATTATAATTTATAAAAAAATAAAAAATAAATAAATTATACAAATGTGAGAAAGATATGAGTGTTTGAATAACTTTAATTGAATGAAATAGGAAGATATAATGTAAAATTCAAAAATGTTATTCCATAAATTTAGGAAACTTAATCTCAAATATAACTGTCAGATTTGTCTCTCATTAATAAAGGAAAGGAGCAACTCTTTTAAAAGAAAAATTTAAAAATCAACAAAAATATATCTCTTCACTAAACATATATACACAAAATTATTTATACACAAATAAATATGAAATGGTGTGCCTTATCACAATTTCCTCTTCATAAAAGTGGCCCAAGGCCCTTTCTCGCAGATACACGAACTACTCATGGACCTCCATATTGTGGATCAGATTCGGCCATGACCCAATGGGGCTTTTCAGACCAGCCCACGAGCCACGGTCTACTAATTGATATCGTTGATGTCGAGATCTATGAGAGGCGCTCTTGATATGGGCTAGATCCTTTATGGCCCTTTTTGTTTTGAACCCAGTTAAGTTGGGTTCAATGGATTTTTGTTTAGAGAAAATGGAATGTGAGTATTTTTTTTAGAACTTATTTGGCTTTAAGTATCACTTCTAAACTTATATTCCTTTAACTCATTTTTTTAATTAAATAGTTGTCAATAAGTACATATTTTAAAACATTTTTAAATTCTTTTTGAAATATATTTCATAATTACCCCTACCATAAATAGTACATACCTAATTAACAACTTTTATATTTCTAATATCTAAATATTAAAATGTGAGATTTTCAAGATTCTTTTTGATATTTGTGTTCCATTTAAATTTGAAATTTCATATATATACACACACAAAACGTATGTATATATATATATATATCAAAAGGAATTATTCGCTCAACAAAAAAATAGTAATATCAAACAGTAATATGCTCAACAAAAAAATAGTAACATTAAACAGTAACACGCTCAATAAAAAAATAATAACATATTTAAGAAAAAAATTAATTTAAAATTTAATCATTACAATAGAGTGACACCATATATAAGTATTTATTTTATTGTGTGTGTGTCACTCTATTACAATAATTAATTTTTTGTTAAACATATTATTGTTTTGATGTTTTTTGATGAGCGTGAAGGTACAATAAAATACAAAATTCGAGTGTTTAAAAAATCGATTCCACTATATTAAATTTTTTCAAAGTATATTAACAACAAATTAATTAAATATTAAATGATTAAACAAATCATATAAATGAGTGGTGTAATATTTTGAAGGAGGAAATATATAAATAATTAAATATGTGATTGAAATGAGTAATGTGATTTGACGTTTAAGTTTAGCAAAGGGATGATGAGTGAGGTAAGTAATTAATGATGATTTTGAGGGAAAAAAATATGACTGAGATAAAGTTCAAACACATTCTTATTTTATTATATATATATATATGTGTGTGTGTGTGGGCGCGCGCGCGCGCGCACATGTATTTGATGGTAAGAATTGAACTCACAAAATCTTTATAATTCAAAAAATTTTAGAAAAGATTTGGTTTTGGAAATTGTCATTAATGACTATTTGGTACTATTGATTCTCAATATCAAAGGTCTCTTCATTTTCCTCATTTAAACGGATTTTTATGACCTTTTTTTAGCAAATATTTTAAAAAATATACTTTGTCCTATTAAATTCTTAGATAAGTACAGACTTCTCTAAGTCCCTTTTATTTATTATTTTTTAATAGGACTTGATGTGATAAGTGACAAAGTCGTCCAAAATTTTTAGTCATAACAGTATAATTGGACCATATCACTGTGAGGTTAACCAATTATATTAGTTTTTGAGGTCCTAATAGAATTATTCTTGTAATTGTAACGGTTAAATTAAATTACATTTTTATACACCAAAATTGCTTTATATAGTCTTCTCATTGTGGAAAAAATATTGGGTATATCTGTTACACTATATTAGTATTGTCACATAATGTAATCATTTATTAATGAGTAAACAAGTCAGGGTCTTACTAAAATTCATAACCATTTAGGCATGTAATATATACCTATTTCCATGAAATGAAGTGGATCTTATTTTATTCATTTTTTTATTTTCTTATTAGACGGGTTACACCTAGTATTTACTTAGTTGGTATAATCCTAACGAGAGAATATTCAACATAATGGTGATATTATGTCAATATTTATGACATGATATCACCAATTAATAATAAAATCTTAAATAGTCAAAATAAATTTTATTTTGATAGTTCTCGATTTATATGAAAGAAAAGTGAATAATGATATGCTTATATAGACGGATAGTTATTAATTTATTTAAAATTTAATTTTTATTTGCTTCTATATTATTCATTAATGATAAAAATAAGAAAAAATTTCATCTACACCCCCTCTAAATAGGTCTATCTTCAATGACACCCCTTGCCTTTTCTGAAACTTCACTGACCTCCCCTGTCAATGTTGGTCAACTAACGGACGTGACGGAAACGCACATTTTACCATTTTACCCATGAATTTTATAAAGAATTACATATTCACAAATTATTTTTTATTAAACTATATATAAATATATATTCCTATTTCCAAGTGTTATGTGCAATACTATTAAATTATATATAAATATTATATAGTTTAAGTGTATTGTGTCATCGATTTTTTTTTAAAAAATAATTTTGAATTTTTTTTCTTGTAATATGTTTAAGAGTACGAAGTCACCGTTTTTTTTTTTTTAAATTCTAAAAAAATTATTTTGAATTTTTTTCCTTATATTATATTTAAGCGTACGGTGTCACTGTTTTTTTTTTTTTAAGTTATTTTAAATTTTTTCCTTGTATTATGTTTAAGCGTACGGTGTCATGGTTTTTTTTTTAAAAAAATTTCTAAAAAAATTATTTTAATTATTTTTTTTGTATTATGTTTAAGTGTATGGTATTATTGATTTTTTTTTTTAAAATTTATTTTGAATTTTTGCCTTGTATTATGTTTAAACATACGATGTCACCTCTTTTTTTTTTAAAAAAATTATTTTGAATTGTTTTCTTATATTATGTTTAAGCGTACGATATCATTGGTTTTTTTTTAAAAAAAATTTCTAAAAATATTATTTTAAATTTTTTTTGTATTATGTTTAAGCATACGATGTTACCGATTTTTTTTTAAAAATTATTTTGAATTTTTTCCTTATATTATGTTTAAGCGTACGGTGTTATCGATTTTTTAAAATTTTTTTCTTGTATTATGTTTAAGCGTACGGTGTTACCAATTTTTTTTAATTTTTTTTTAAAAATTATTTTGATTTTTTTTCTTGTATTATATTTTTGCAGTTAGGTGATTGAGTTGTTGAGGCATGAGAGAGAGAAAGAGAAAGAGAGGGACAAGGGTTTCATGTGGAATAAGAAGTGTAAAATTGGTATTTCATAAAAAATTTGGTATGACATCACACTTTTCTGATTGTCAGTAACGGTAAAGGGTGTATTTGATTTAACAATATAAACCAGAAGGGAGTGCAGTAAAGATTCAAAATGAGGAGGGGGTGTCTTTGAATTTGTGCCTAAGTACAGGGAGTGTTGATAAAATTTTTTCTAAAAATAATAATAATTTTAATGTAATATCACTGTCGCAATTAATATTTTTTTGGATCCTAACACTCTATTGCAACAGTGTGGCAGTTATTTACGAACCTTGGTCTAACTTCTGGATTTTTTACTGTTTTCACGCAAGCTCTATAAAGTTCACCCGTCACTGTCCTCCTGGATATATACGTGAGGTTCTATATGTTCGAGTGCCAGAGAGGGAGAGAAAGAGAAGTCAAGCACGGGAGCAGCCATTGCAGACCTTTAATACCCACGGACGTGTGGTGATTGGTGAGTGTTTAAGGCCATAGGGAAAGTAGGATTGGAGCTAAAACTGCGAAAAGATTTGATTTTGATGTTTTTGTAGGCTAATTGTTTCAACACACAGTGTAGTTACAGTGAGTGAGATTGTAGTTGTGGTACTCCCCACCTCTGTCCAATCTTTAAATGAGACTCAGCCCCCTCATTCCTCACAACTTACTGTTTGCTTCGTTGCTAACAGTAATACGCAGTTTTAGTTTTTAAGACGCGCCGTTTCCTCTTTCTTCCACTCTTTTTTGTCATCCCCCCATCCTTTTCTCCTTTCCTCTTTTGCTCTCTCTCTCTCTCCTCTCTATATGAGATCAATCACTAGTCATGGTCTTTAATGAACCGTACAGTCTTCCTCCTCCCCACTCTCTACACCAAGAAAAAATGGTTTGCTTTAACTGATTAGTGCTAGAATTTGGAGTTTTCAGTTTCTAATTGGTAATTTTTCATGGGATTTGATTTGATATTGTTGGGTTTTCAGGTGGGTTTCACTTCAATCCCTCAATGGGTACTTCAAGTTCTTACAAGCGAGAAGTTTTTCAACTCATGTTTGGTTCATGAGTCCGAGAAGAAAAATGAGGAAAATACCTTTTGTTTGGAATGCTGCATTTGCTTATGCCCTCACTGCTTGCCTCCTCACCGAACCCACCATCTCTTACAGGTTTGTACACCCACACACTCTTACACATTTATATGTCTATACACACACACACACACACACACTAAGAATCAATGATTTTGAATTACAAATTCAACATGAATTATATGGCCATTCTCTGGTTTGCTCATTAACTTGTTTTGTTTATGTTTGGGTCTCAGATACGCAGGTATGTTTACCATGATGTCATACGGCTGAAAGATGCTGAGAGGCTAATGGATTGTTCCTTTGTTCAAGTAAGCAAAAAGATGGAACTTGCCGTAGTTACGACTGTACCAAGTACCAACTCTTCTTTTTCATGGCTAATCTGGTTAAAAAGTTCCATTAATTTTTATGGCTTTTCGTCAGTCCTACACAACAAACAGTGCAAAAGTAGTGTTTTTGAAGCAAAGGCCAATGACCAGGCAATTCAAAGGCTCAGGCTGCATCATATGTGGGCGAAACCTCCAACACCCATTCCTCTTCTGCTCCATAGCTTGCAAGGTTTGCCCCTTCTATTGCATTTTCATCATTTTCTCATCAATTCGGACACACCCGCCTCTCTCTCTCTCTCTCNAGATACACGAACTACTCATGGACCTCCATATTGTGGATCAGATTCGGCCATGACCCAATGGGGCTTTTCAGACCAGCCCACGAGCCACGGTCTACTAATTGATATCGTTGATGTCGAGATCTATGAGAGGCGCTCTTGATATGGGCTAGATCCTTTATGGCCCTTTTTGTTTTGAACCCAGTTAAGTTGGGTTCAATGGATTTTTGTTTAGAGAAAATGGAATGTGAGTATTTTTTTTAGAACTTATTTGGCTTTAAGTATCACTTCTAAACTTATATTCCTTTAACTCATTTTTTTAATTAAATAGTTGTCAATAAGTACATATTTTAAAACATTTTTAAATTCTTTTTGAAATATATTTCATAATTACCCCTACCATAAATAGTACATACCTAATTAACAACTTTTATATTTCTAATATCTAAATATTAAAATGTGAGATTTTCAAGATTCTTTTTGATATTTGTGTTCCATTTAAATTTGAAATTTCATATATATACACACACAAAACGTATGTATATATATATATATATCAAAAGGAATTATTCGCTCAACAAAAAAATAGTAATATCAAACAGTAATATGCTCAACAAAAAAATAGTAACATTAAACAGTAACACGCTCAATAAAAAAATAATAACATATTTAAGAAAAAAATTAATTTAAAATTTAATCATTACAATAGAGTGACACCATATATAAGTATTTATTTTATTGTGTGTGTGTCACTCTATTACAATAATTAATTTTTTGTTAAACATATTATTGTTTTGATGTTTTTTGATGAGCGTGAAGGTACAATAAAATACAAAATTCGAGTGTTTAAAAAATCGATTCCACTATATTAAATTTTTTCAAAGTATATTAACAACAAATTAATTAAATATTAAATGATTAAACAAATCATATAAATGAGTGGTGTAATATTTTGAAGGAGGAAATATATAAATAATTAAATATGTGATTGAAATGAGTAATGTGATTTGACGTTTAAGTTTAGCAAAGGGATGATGAGTGAGGTAAGTAATTAATGATGATTTTGAGGGAAAAAAATATGACTGAGATAAAGTTCAAACACATTCTTATTTTATTATATATATATATGTGTGTGTGTGTGTGTGCGCGCGCGCGCGCACATGTATTTGATGGTAAGAATTGAACTCACAAAATCTTTATAATTCAAAAAATTTTAGAAAAGATTTGGTTTTGGAAATTGTCATTAATGACTATTTGGTACTATTGATTCTCAATATCAAAGGTCTCTTCATTTTCCTCATTTAAACGGATTTTTATGACCTTTTTTTAGCAAATATTTTAAAAAATATACTTTGTCCTATTAAATTCTTAGATAAGTACAGACTTCTCTAAGTCCCTTTTATTTATTATTTTTTAATAGGACTTGATGTGATAAGTGACAAAGTCGTCCAAAATTTTTAGTCATAACAGTATAATTGGACCATATCACTGCGAGGTTAACCAATTATATTAGTTTTTGAGGTCCTAATAGAATTATTCTTGTAATTGTAACGGTTAAATTAAATTACATTTTTATACACCAAAATTGCTTTATATAGTCTTCTCATGATGGAAAAAATATTGGGTATATCTGTTACACTATATTAGTATTGTCACATAATGTAATCATTCATTAATGAGTAAACAAGTCCGGGTCTTACTAAAATTCATAACCATTTAGGCATGTAATATATACCTATTTCCATGAAATGAAGTGGATCTTATTTTATTCATTTTTTTATTTTCTTATTAGACGGGTTACACCTAGTATTTACTTAGTTGGTATAATCCTAACGAGAGAATATTCAACATAATGGTGATATTATGTCAATATTTATGACATGATATCACTAATTAATAATAAAATTTTAAATAGTCAAAATAAATTTTACTTGGATAGTTCTCGATTTATATGAAAGAAAAGTGAATAATGATATGCTTATATAGACGAATAGTTATTAATTTATTTAAAATTTAATTTTTATTTGCTTCTATATTATTCATTAATGATAAAAATAAGAAAAAATTTCATCTACACCCCCTCTAAATAGGTCTATCTTCAATGACACCCCTTGCCTTTTTTGAAACTTCACTGACCTCCCCTGTCAATGTTGGTCAGCTAACGGACGTGACGAAAACGCACATTTTACCATTTTACCCATGAATTTTATAAAGAATTACATATTCACAAATTATTTTTTATTAAACTATATATAAATATATATTCCTATTTCCAAGTGTTATGTGCAATACTATTAAATTATATATAAATATTATATAGTTTAAGTGTATTGTGTCATCGATTTTTAAAAAAAAAATAATTTTGAATTTTTTTTCTTGTAATATGTTTAAGAGTACGAAGTCACCGGTTTTTTTTTTTTAAAAATTCTAAAAAAATTATTTTGAATTTGTTTCCTTATATTATATTTAAGCGTACGGTGTCACTGTTTTTTTTTTTTTTTTAAGTTATTTTAAATTTTTTCCTTGTATTATGTTTAAGCGTACGGTGTCACGGTTTTTTTTTTAAAAAAATTTCTAAAAAAATTATTTTAATTATTTTTTTTGTATTATGTTTAAGTGTATGGTATTATTGATTTTTTTTTTTAAAATTTATTTTGAATTTTTGCCTTGTATTATGTTTAAGCATACGGTGTCATCTCTTTTTTTAAAAAAAAATTATTTTGAATTGTTTTCTTATATTATGTTTAAGCGTACGATATCACTGATTTTTTTAAAAAAAATTTCTAAAAAAATTATTTTAATTTTTTTTTGTATTATGTTTAAGCATACGATGTTACCGATTTTTTTTTTAAAATTATTTTAAATTTTTTTCCTTATATTATGTTTAAGCGTACGGTGTTATCGATTTTTTAAAATTTTTTTCTTATATTATGTTTAAGCGTATGGTGTTACCAATTTTTTTTAATTTTTTTTTAAAAATTATTTTGATTTTTTTTCTTGTATTATATTTTTACAGTTAGGTGATTGAGTTGTTGAGGCATGAGAGAGAGAAAGAGAAAGAGAGGGACAAGGGTTTCATGTGGAATAAGAAGTGTAAAATTGGTATTTCATAAAAAATTTGGTATGACATCAACACTTTTCTGATTGTTTGATTTAACAGTATAAACCAGAAGGGAGTGCAGTGAAGATTCAAAATGAGGAGGGGTGTCTTTGAATTTGTGCCTAACTACAGGGAGTGTTGATAAAATTTTTTTTAAAAATAATAATAATTTTAATGTAATATCACTGTCGCAATTAATATTTTTTTGGATCCTAACACTCTATTGCAACAGTGTGGCAGTTATTTACGAACCTTGGTCTAACTTCTGGATTTTTTACTGTTTCACGCAAGCTCTATAAAGTTCACCCGTCACTGTCCTCCTGGATATCTACGTGAGGTTCTATATGTTCGAGTGCCAGAGAGGGAGAGAAAGAGAAGTCAAGNTCACGCAAGCTCTATAAAGTTCACCCGTCACTGTCCTCCTGGATATCTACGTGAGGTTCTATATGTTCGAGTGCCAGAGAGGGAGAGAAAGAGAAGTCAAGCACGGGAGCAGCCATTGCAGACCTTTAATACCCACGGACGTGTNTCAATAAAAAAATAATAACATATTTAAGAAAAAAATTAATTTAAAATTTAATCATTACAATAGAGTGACACCATATATAAGTATTTATTTTATTGTGTGTGTGTCACTCTATTACAATAATTAATTTTTTGTTAAACATATTATTGTTTTGATGTTTTTTGATGAGCGTGAAGGTACAATAAAATACAAAATTCGAGTGTTTAAAAAATCGATTCCACTATATTAAATTTTTTCAAAGTATATTAACAACAAATTAATTAAATATTAAATGATTAAACAAATCATATAAATGAGTGGTGTAATATTTTGAAGGAGGAAATATATAAATGATTAAATATGTGATTGAAATGAGTAATGTGATTTGACGTTTAAGTTTAGCAAAGGGATGATGAGTGAGGTAAGTAATTAATGATGATTTTGAGGGAAAAAAATATGACTGAGATAAAGTTCAAACACATTCTTATTTTATTATATATATATATGTGTGTGTGTGTGTGTGCGCGCGCGCGCGCACATGTATTTGATGGTAAGAATTGAACTCACAAAATCTTTATAATTCAAAAAATTTTAGAAAAGATTTGGTTTTGGAAATTGTCATTAATGACTATTTGGTACTATTGATTCTCAATATCAAAGGTCTCTTCATTTTCCTCATTTAAACGGATTTTTATGACTTTTTTTTAGCAAATATTTTAAAAAATATACTTTGTCCTATTAAATTCTTAGATAAGTACAGACTTCTCTAAGTCCCTTTTATTTATTATTTTTTAATAGGACTTGATGTGATAAGTGACAAAGTCGTCCAAAATTTTTAGTCATAACAGTATAATTGGACCATATCACTGCGAGGTTAACCAATTATATTAGTTTTTGAGGTCCTAATAGAATTATTCTTGTAATTGTAACGGTTAAATTAAATTACATTTTTATACACCAAAATTGCTTTATATAGTCTTCTCATTGTGGAAAAAATATTGGGTATATCTGTTACACTATATTAGTATTGTCACATAATGTAATCATTTATTAATGAGTAAACAAGTCAGGGTCTTACTAAAATTCATAACCATTTAGGCATGTAATATATACCTATTTCCATGAAATGAAGTGGATCTTATTTTATTCATTTTTTTATTTTCTTATTAGACGGGTTACACCTAGTATTTACTTAGTTGGTATAATCCTAACGAGAGAATATTCAACATAATGGTGATATTATGTCAATATTTATGACATGATATCACCAATTAATAATAAAATCTTAAATAGTCAAAATAAATTTTATTTTGATAGTTCTCGATTTATATGAAAGAAAAGTGAATAATGATATGCTTATATAGACGGATAGTTATTAATTTATTTAAAATTTAATTTTTATTTGCTTCTATATTATTCATTAATGATAAAAATAAGAAAAAATTTCATCTACACCCCCTCTAAATAGGTCTATCTTCAATGACACCCCTTGCCTTTTCTGAAACTTCACTGACCTCCCCTGTCAATGTTGGTCAACTAACGGACGTGACGGAAACGCACATTTTACCATTTTACCCATGAATTTTATAAAGAATTACATATTCACAAATTATTTTTTATTAAACTATATATAAATATATATTCCTATTTCCAAGTGTTATGTGCAATACTATTAAATTATATATAAATATTATATAGTTTAAGTGTATTGTGTCATCGATTTTTTTTTAAAAAATAATTTTGAATTTTTTTTCTTGTAATATGTTTAAGAGTACGAAGTCACCGTTTTTTTTTTTTTAAATTCTAAAAAAATTATTTTGAATTTTTTTCCTTATATTATATTTAAGCGTACGGTGTCACTGTTTTTTTTTTTTTAAGTTATTTTAAATTTTTTCCTTGTATTATGTTTAAGCGTACGGTGTCATGGTTTTTTTTTTAAAAAAATTTCTAAAAAAATTATTTTAATTATTTTTTTTGTATTATGTTTAAGTGTATGGTATTATTGATTTTTTTTTTTAAAATTTATTTTGAATTTTTGCCTTGTATTATGTTTAAACATACGATGTCACCTCTTTTTTTTTTAAAAAAATTATTTTGAATTGTTTTCTTATATTATGTTTAAGCGTACGATATCATTGGTTTTTTTTTAAAAAAAATTTCTAAAAATATTATTTTAAATTTTTTTTGTATTATGTTTAAGCATACGATGTTACCGATTTTTTTTTAAAAATTATTTTGAATTTTTTCCTTATATTATGTTTAAGCGTACGGTGTTATCGATTTTTTAAAATTTTTTTCTTGTATTATGTTTAAGCGTACGGTGTTACCAATTTTTTTTAATTTTTTTTTAAAAATTATTTTGATTTTTTTTCTTGTATTATATTTTTGCAGTTAGGTGATTGAGTTGTTGAGGCATGAGAGAGAGAAAGAGAAAGAGAGGGACAAGGGTTTCATGTGGAATAAGAAGTGTAAAATTGGTATTTCATAAAAAATTTGGTATGACATCACACTTTTCTGATTGTCAGTAACGGTAAAGGGTGTATTTGATTTAACAATATAAACCAGAAGGGAGTGCAGTAAAGATTCAAAATGAGGAGGGGGTGTCTTTGAATTTGTGCCTAAGTACAGGGAGTGTTGATAAAATTTTTTCTAAAAATAATAATAATTTTAATGTAATATCACTGTCGCAATTAATATTTTTTTGGATCCTAACACTCTATTGCAACAGTGTGGCAGTTATTTACGAACCTTGGTCTAACTTCTGGATTTTTTACTGTTTTCACGCAAGCTCTATAAAGTTCACCCGTCACTGTCCTCCTGGATATATACGTGAGGTTCTATATGTTCGAGTGCCAGAGAGGGAGAGAAAGAGAAGTCAAGCACGGGAGCAGCCATTGCAGACCTTTAATACCCACGGACGTGTGGTGATTGGTGAGTGTTTAAGGCCATAGGGAAAGTAGGATTGGAGCTAAAACTGCGAAAAGATTTGATTTTGATGTTTTTGTAGGCTAATTGTTTCAACACACAGTGTAGTTACAGTGAGTGAGATTGTAGTTGTGGTACTCCCCACCTCTGTCCAATCTTTAAATGAGACTCAGCCCCCTCATTCCTCACAACTTACTGTTTGCTTCGTTGCTAACAGTAATACGCAGTTTTAGTTTTTAAGACGCGCCGTTTCCTCTTTCTTCCACTCTTTTTTGTCATCCCCCCATCCTTTTCTCCTTTCCTCTTTTGCTCTCTCTCTCTCTCCTCTCTATATGAGATCAATCACTAGTCATGGTCTTTAATGAACCGTACAGTCTTCCTCCTCCCCACTCTCTACACCAAGAAAAAATGGTTTGCTTTAACTGATTAGTGCTAGAATTTGGAGTTTTCAGTTTCTAATTGGTAATTTTTCATGGGATTTGATTTGATATTGTTGGGTTTTCAGGTGGGTTTCACTTCAATCCCTCAATGGGTACTTCAAGTTCTTACAAGCGAGAAGTTTTTCAACTCATGTTTGGTTCATGAGTCCGAGAAGAAAAATGAGGAAAATACCTTTTGTTTGGAATGCTGCATTTGCTTATGCCCTCACTGCTTGCCTCCTCACCGAACCCACCATCTCTTACAGGTTTGTACACCCACACACTCTTACACATTTATATGTCTATACACACACACACACACACACACTAAGAATCAATGATTTTGAATTACAAATTCAACATGAATTATATGGCCATTCTCTGGTTTGCTCATTAACTTGTTTTGTTTATGTTTGGGTCTCAGATACGCAGGTATGTTTACCATGATGTCATACGGCTGAAAGATGCTGAGAGGCTAATGGATTGTTCCTTTGTTCAAGTAAGCAAAAAGATGGAACTTGCCGTAGTTACGACTGTACCAAGTACCAACTCTTCTTTTTCATGGCTAATCTGGTTAAAAAGTTCCATTAATTTTTATGGCTTTTCGTCAGTCCTACACAACAAACAGTGCAAAAGTAGTGTTTTTGAAGCAAAGGCCAATGACCAGGCAATTCAAAGGCTCAGGCTGCATCATATGTGGGCGAAACCTCCAACACCCATTCCTCTTCTGCTCCATAGCTTGCAAGGTTTGCCCCTTCTATTGCATTTTCATCATTTTCTCATCAATTCGGACACACCCGCCTCTCTCTCTCTCTCTCCCCTCTATATATGTGTGTGTAATTACAGTTCGTGGTCAATGTAGGTTCATGACAAGGTAAGCTCCAAAGTGAATCTAAGAAAACAACATTTGTACAAATGTGGAAGTTTAGTGGAGCTCGAAGATGGCCAATTGACACCTGACTTGATCCTTGAACAGCCTATTTCACTGCGTGCTTCTTCAGTTTCAGGGTCAAGCTCCGGTGGTGCTAACAATATAAATTGTAGAACACTTGTTTGCACTGCAACCAGTGAGTTTGTGAAGAAGAAACGTAGCGCCATTGCTGTTTCTCGGACTCCTTACCGGCCAACATGCTCGCCGGCTTCAGAGGTGGCCCCCACTATGAACCGGCGAAAGTGTACGCCTCACCGGTCGCCGATGTACTAGGCGGTGCTAGCGTAGGGGGGACAATTGTTATTATAAGTAAAGCTCAGTTTAGATATAATTATAACATGTCTCTTATTCTAGGAACTCTATATAGTTTAGTTTACTTTGCAATGTACCAAGAAAAAAAGAAAAGGAAACAGTGATCTCATGGTACCAGAGATATGCACATGTGGTAATTATTATGTTATATGAATATGATAATTATTGAATTATACAATTTTTTTTTTTTTAAATTGTTCAAACTTGTACTCACTACTATCCTCTCCAACTCTTATTTGTAATGGATATTTACTGTGTTTTGACAAAAAATTGAAATGTTTCCTAGTTGAAGGTTTTGGGATTTTTTATTTTAACGGGATAGACGACTCATCCAATATACTACTTTCAATTTTTTTAATAGGTCACTTATCATATAATTTTTTTTTAATTAATAGTATTTTTTATTCTTAAAGTATATTTGTTTTGTCGGTTTAGTTTACATTATATTAATTTTGTCAATTTAGTCTTGAAAGTTTTAATTCATGTCATTTTGGTTTATAATCAAATAATTTGTTCAATTTTTTTATGAAAGTGATCACGTGTCATCTTTTCAGATGGTATTATGTGATCATTTCATTTGTGTAAGGACGGTTTAAATACCAAGTTAAATATTTTAGAAATCAAATTGATAAAATTGATATTTTAAAGACTAAACTAATAAAATATGCATACTTTAAGGGTTAAAAGTGTTATTAATCTTTTTTTTATAACAAAAACTTATCATGTATACTAGTGAGATTTGTTATATATAAATGAGTATCTAAACCATTAATAGTATAATTTATCAAAAAAAATATTATTAGTGGATGATTCGTCGAGACATTAGGTAGATCTATTTACTACTTACTGAAATTTCTATGAGATAGATTTTTCAGTTACAAAGAGGAAATGATTGGTGGAGCCTTTGATACCATGTAAAACAACAACGCAAGTAAATGTACCTCACCATCTTGAAGAGAAATGTTGTATACCAAAATGATGTGGTACATTAATAGTCGTTAGATAGTTATTGAAAATTTGTGGGACTCGGTGATCTGCTGATTCACATTGATTGAAGATTCAAGAGAATGTATAAAATTAGTAGATGCCATGGTAGCATAAAGTTTAAAAGCTCCAACTTGCTCATAAATGGAGGGACACCATGAAGAATTATACAAAGGAAAAAAGGAAAGAGAAAATTGATGGGGATTTCTTTTTTTTTTTTCTTCCTGGAATTGTTTTGTGAAAACAGAGGTGTGTATAGCTGTGTATTTGTTTTCCACTTCCAGTACAAAGAGAGTTGGAGAGACATTTAATGGATAGTATACTTACTAGAGGTTTTGCAGAACACATGGTGCAGAGCAGTGGGGACCAAATTTCTCACCAAGTATTTATTGGCCATTCCTTATTAGATAAAATGTTTTTTAAGCATCTGGGCAGGTTGGAATTTTCTTTGCTGGAAAAAGGAGAGGAAACTCAGTACAAACACTTTGAAATGTGGATTTGAATGGTTGGAAGGATGGGGGAATTTGGAGAAAAAATGGTGGGAATTTAATGATTTGTCATTCCTGTACAGCTGTGGCANTTTTCGTCAGTCCTACACAACAAACAGTGCAAAAGTAGTGTTTTTGAAGCAAAGGCCAATGACCAGGCAATTCAAAGGCTCAGGCTGCATCATATGTGGGCGAAACCTCCAACACCCATTCCTCTTCTGCTCCATAGCTTGCAAGGTTTGCCCCTTCTATTGCATTTTCATCATTTTCTCATCAATTCGGACACACCCGCCTCTCTCTCTCTCTCTCCCCTCTATATATGTGTGTGTAATTACAGTTCGTGGTCAATGTAGGTTCATGACAAGGTAAGCTCCAAAGTGAATCTAAGAAAACAACATTTGTACAAATGTGGAAGTTTAGTGGAGCTCGAAGATGGCCAATTGACACCTGACTTGATCCTTGAACAGCCTATTTCACTGCGTGCTTCTTCAGTTTCAGGGTCAAGCTCCGGTGGTGCTAACAATATAAATTGTAGAACACTTGTTTGCACTGCAACCAGTGAGTTTGTGAAGAAGAAACGTAGCGCCATTGCTGTTTCTCGGACTCCTTACCGGCCAACATGCTCGCCGGCTTCAGAGGTGGCCCCCACTATGAACCGGCGAAAGTGTACGCCTCACCGGTCGCCGATGTACTAGGCGGTGCTAGCGTAGGGGGGACAATTGTTATTATAAGTAAAGCTCAGTTTAGATATAATTATAACATGTCTCTTATTCTAGGAACTCTATATAGTTTAGTTTACTTTGCAATGTACCAAGAAAAAAAGAAAAGGAAACAGTGATCTCATGGTACCAGAGATATGCACATGTGGTAATTATTATGTTATATGAATATGATAATTATTGAATTATACAATTTTTTTTTTTTTAAATTGTTCAAACTTGTACTCACTACTATCCTCTCCAACTCTTATTTGTAATGGATATTTACTGTGTTTTGACAAAAAATTGAAATGTTTCCTAGTTGAAGGTTTTGGGATTTTTTATTTTAACGGGATAGACGACTCATCCAATATACTACTTTCAATTTTTTTAATAGGTCACTTATCATATAATTTTTTTTTAATTAATAGTATTTTTTATTCTTAAAGTATATTTGTTTTGTCGGTTTAGTTTACATTATATTAATTTTGTCAATTTAGTCTTGAAAGTTTTAATTCATGTCATTTTGGTTTATAATCAAATAATTTGTTCAATTTTTTTATGAAAGTGATCACGTGTCATCTTTTCAGATGGTATTATGTGATCATTTCATTTGTGTAAGGACGGTTTAAATACCAAGTTAAATATTTTAGAAATCAAATTGATAAAATTGATATTTTAAAGACTAAACTAATAAAATATGCATACTTTAAGGGTTAAAAGTGTTATTAATCTTTTTTTTATAACAAAAACTTATCATGTATACTAGTGAGATTTGTTATATATAAATGAGTATCTAAACCATTAATAGTATAATTTATCAAAAAAAATATTATTAGTGGATGATTCGTCGAGACATTAGGTAGATCTATTTACTACTTACTGAAATTTCTATGAGATAGATTTTTCAGTTACAAAGAGGAAATGATTGGTGGAGCCTTTGATACCATGTAAAACAACAACGCAAGTAAATGTACCTCACCATCTTGAAGAGAAATGTTGTATACCAAAATGATGTGGTACATTAATAGTCGTTAGATAGTTATTGAAAATTTGTGGGACTCGGTGATCTGCTGATTCACATTGATTGAAGATTCAAGAGAATGTATAAAATTAGTAGATGCCATGGTAGCATAAAGTTTAAAAGCTCCAACTTGCTCATAAATGGAGGGACACCATGAAGAATTATACAAAGGAAAAAAGGAAAGAGAAAATTGATGGGGATTTCTTTTTTTTTTTTCTTCCTGGAATTGTTTTGTGAAAACAGAGGTGTGTATAGCTGTGTATTTGTTTTCCACTTCCAGTACAAAGAGAGTTGGAGAGACATTTAATGGATAGTATACTTACTAGAGGTTTTGCAGAACACATGGTGCAGAGCAGTGGGGACCAAATTTCTCACCAAGTATTTATTGGCCATTCCTTATTAGATAAAATGTTTTTTAAGCATCTGGGCAGGTTGGAATTTTCTTTGCTGGAAAAAGGAGAGGAAACTCAGTACAAACACTTTGAAATGTGGATTTGAATGGTTGGAAGGATGGGGGAATTTGGAGAAAAAATGGTGGGAATTTAATGATTTGTCATTCCTGTACAGCTGTGGCAGGCTAGGATGGTCACAACTCAGGGGAGAGAGAGAGAGAGAGAGAGAGAGAGAGAGAGGGAAGAGGCCATTATCTGACTGCCAATGCCTCAGGTTGGTTTGGAATTTTGGGACCTCAATATCTATATACAATCCATGAAGAGTACCATTCCTGTCGAGTTAGAGTGACTATTTTATTCCAAACTCGAGACTTCTATGTCCTTGGTGTTTATTTGTTTACCATACCTCCATTTTTTTATCACATGTAAACTTAATTGATTTTATCATTTTTCAGAATTAAAGCCTACAAATTATCACATCAGAACCCTGACAAACGAACTTACGCGCGGAACATTTTAAGAGACTAGCATCTTTCCTTCTTATTTGACTTATAATTTTATTTTTTTTCTTGTATTTGAATGACTTCTTCTCTATCTTTAGTCTTCTGTTTAAGAATTGCACCAGGGGAAATAGCTAACTGCGGTCCCTAAGCTCAACATGTAACAAGCCAAAAAAAGTGTGACTTATGGTTCTAGATCAATTTTGATTTGATAGTCATGCTTATTTTTTTTCGAGTACCCTAGACATGTGCATTTATTTTCTCGTTTTATCTCTTTTTTTTTCAAGTCTATTCATATATCATGACCACGCAAAAGATGGTTCAGTATACACGGCTATTATCATTGCAGAGTTTAAAGAAGATATGCATTATCAATGGAGAGTCTAGAGAAGATATGTATGCAATCTAACCCCAAACACAAAGTAACCGAAAGAAAGAAGACTGTTCAAGTTGTATGCTTCCTACAGCTAGGATTATTTTTAGATGTTATGAGAGTTTATGATGCTACTTATAATTAATGATCCAAAGAATCAACCAAAGTAGCACCAGTGGTAGAATAGTACCCTGCCACGGTACAGACCCGGGTTCGATACCCGGCTGGTGCAGACATTTTTTTGCTAAAATTACATGAATGGTTTCTTANTGGTAGAATAGTACCCTGCCACGGTACAGACCCGGGTTCGATTCCCGGCTGGTGCAGACATTTTTTTGCTAAAATTACATGAATGGTTTCTTTCAAACAGAACATATCATGCATGGGTGTTTGGTTATTGTCACATACAGCTGCTATGACCTGCTTTTGATAAGAATTTTTGGAAATCTTTCTGAGCTTGTTCCACCAAATGCTGATCTTCCCACTCATCTCGGTAAGTCTCCGGTCGTGCCTTCTTGTTCTTGCTGGTCGCGTGATACATTTCCTTTCTCCATTCTTCACTGGGTGGGCATCCACACTCAGCAGCAAGCCAATCATTGTACTCGAACTGCAAAATGCCAGAATGGATTTAACGATATGAGATGGAGCTCACTTTAATAGCGGACTCGAACACTTGCATAGGTTAGTACGCCAAAAGATGCAGATGGAATACCAATCTTTAGGCTGCTATTACATGAAATTTTTCAGCTTTGGAAAAAAAGGGGGTGGGAGTATCTCCTGTAGACGAGCCGATACACTGTTGGGGTAATGGGCCTCATAGGTGACAGAAACAGAGAAATAAAAACTAAGGATGGGTGCCAATATTAGTGGCGAATTGAAATAAAATTTAGAAGTACTTGCACACTGAGAATCTAGCAACTGGTATTCAACATCTATGGTCCACAGTCCACACAAAGAACTCCATTTGAAGACTTAGAAACAAGATTGTCAACAGTGACCTAGACACAAAAATTAACCAATATTAGACACAGCATTTAAGCAACTTGTGCTTTGCAAGAATCGAGAGGGGGAACGAGGGCAAGAGCGAAAGAACCAGATCTTATATCGCATTAGGCCCATGTATCTTAATCCATGGTATGAGCAAATTAAAATTGTCTCAATCAGCAGACTGCATCTAGTCATGGGTTCATACAGGGATATTTGACTTACTATTAACTTGCTGATGCAAAAGAAAACTACCGTAAGAGACCACAAAGCTATTGAAACTACGGGCTTCCCAATTTTGTGTCGCTTCCAATGTTGAGGCGTAAAATATCCATCATTTAATAAATTTTTTGAATTTTGACCTGATTTTGTACCTGATAATTCCCCATTTTATGAGTGTATCGTTTTGGAATGCCAGATGCTTCCAGTGATGCATAAAAAGCTTCAACATCTTTCATCATCTCTTCTGGTGTTGGGAGTGAAATTCGACCAGACAAAGATCCCGCTATCCACTTGCTCTGGAATTCAACCAGGGGGAAAGGGGCAACCTGGCATCAATCAAATTCAAACACTTGTTTAACTATTGTAACATCACAAAAAGGAATATAATGCAAAGAAGAGATAAACCTTCCATGGCAACCCAACAAATGAAAGCAGTGGCGCTAAGACTGGCGGGAAAATGTGCTTGTACAGTGGCCCCACACGATTGTCATCCACGGTCACAATGTCATTGGTTTTAAGGAAAGGGAAATGATACTTGTATCTGAAAATAAAAAAGAAAGCAACTCTGAATTACAGATCTTTCTTTCTTCGTCTCACTGTAGTGTAGACTAAATTCCATCAGTTTTCAAGTTTTCATGCAACAGTCAGATCCACAACCAACCTAAGGCCTATCCACTTCGGACATACCCTGTGCAGTGTACAATCATGTCACCACAGACAGCACTCTCATCTCGGAATACTACGGTACCATCTTGCTGGACACTTTCTATCTGCATTAGTTAGAGTTAAAATCAGCATTTATTGAACAACTGATATCTTAGCCTTGGATGTAGAGAAATCTGTTGAATTCTTATGATAATATGGGTGATGAGACATTTACCACAGAATGAAGATGAATATTATTGTAGCGATGCAACTTTCCGAAAGCTTCATCCATGGCTGTTCTGGATGAAATGTGGACCTCTTTAGCAACTCCAGCAATTTCAACAGAGATGTCAACAGCGCTTGAAGAACTCCCTATCAGCACCACAATCTGTGTATTTAAAGCCATTTATAACAATTCTAATTATCATCATTTCTGCAGTATGCTTTCATCATTTCCAAAAGATGCTTCTGATTCAGTCTCCTTACATATGGTGAAGATGCTAGACCAGAATTCTAGAGTTTCTCCTTTTTTTATATGCAAACAAGTTGTAAGCATGGCCAAGTATTATTAAAACAATAAAAACATCCTCCTCTCTCTTAAAACAAAAGGCAAACATGAATTTTTCAAGCACTAGATGTAACTCGAGAGATTTGGGAGTGACAAAGCTGAACTTATTAAAAGTAAGATTATGAGACCATGCCAGAACTGTATGGCTGAAGTCAAAGAAGGAAGGTTTGTCTATCCAAACACGCAGATCACACTGCTTCCTCTTTGGTCAATCTGAAAGAGAAGTTCTATGAGGTAAGGTACGCAATGCAAATTGATAACCGACAACATAGTATAGTAGATTATGTTCTTTAGCAGGTTGATCTGATTTCTCCAAAAAACCAAATTGCTGGAGCTCTTAACCACAAAATTTTCTTGTACAGTCAAAAAATTTCAGGATGCAATGTCCTATGTGCATCCATGCATTACCTACACAAGCAATATAAATCTATTTACTGCCATCATTTCCTGCAAACATGAATGCAGAAACAATTTCCACAACCACCACTACCAGAAATTTTGTGCTATTCATTTGTGAAAAGAAAAAATTCTCAAGTCAATTTGAAAAAGTGACACTGCTCTGCGATAAAACATTGGCATAATTAATCATAAGAAACAGGACCCGGCACATACTTGATCTCGAAATGGATCAGGAACACGATAGTTATGGCTGTGAATTTGCTTCCCTGGCCACATGTCAATGCCTGGAATATAATGCAGAATATCTTATCATGGCAGTCCCAATGTTAACTACAGACATATTTAGTTCAATGCATATGGCAACCATCTAGAATATAATTACAGAAATAAGCTACTGTCAAAAGATTTTCCTAGTAAGGTCATCTCGTCACAATTCACAACATGGAAAAAATATTTTTTTTTTTTCTTTTTACCTCGCTACGCCATAAAGTGGAACAATTTCAGGCTGTACCATTTGTATTGCAAATTACGCTACACATCAGAATCTTGTGCTCTCCAAGTTCAATATGCAAGAACTACCATTAACAGATACTATCATTAACACCCTCAAAGTATCAACTAATTACTATCAGCAGATAGTATTAGATCCAAACTTCGCCTTGGAAATCTGCACTGTGTACTAACACTCAAACCATTACAATATGAATTGTGTCATAAAGGATCAAAATCTAACAAGCTTAGAACTTTTAGCATAGAACAAAATGTAGTGGTGAACCAACGCATACGTAAATTATGGAATACTGATGCATATTGTGTGTAAATCAACGGTTTAGTCTCATTTTATTTATTAACCCCTTCTTGTTTCTTATAACCTTGTTTGTTTTTACACGCTTCCCTGCGTCAAACACGACACCCAATTGAACAATCTGAAATCTAATCCAACTGACTAAGCTAAACCAAAACCAAAAACAAATCTTGAACGCCTATATATACATAGCTGAAATTACCAGGAATTTCGGCAATCCGGGGCTCCGTATAATGCCCATTAACCACAACCACAGCATCATATACCTCATCATCATCTTCACCACCATCGCTTCTCTTCCTTGACCTCACCTTCCACTTCCCACCCTCCATCAACCCAACATGCTTCACCTCAGTCCCAAATCTCACCAACCCACCTAGCTCAAACTCACCCATAAAGTCATTCAAATACTCCAACACCTCCCTATGACCCGGGAACCTCCTCGGGTCTCTGTCACCCTTGTCCACAGCCACAAACGGGTATTCCCGAAAGCCCATTACCTCTCGGGAAAGGTTGGTCCGGAGAGAAGCGTAGAGACTGGAGTGGATGATGTTTCGGGTGGGCTCGACACCGAGTGGATCCGACTCAGTGTTTGGATTGTAGATCCAGGTGCCTCCAATTTGTTTCTCTCTTTCGAAGACGACGACGCTGTGGCCTTCGCTTCGGAGCTCACGTGCGGCGACAAGACCAGCAGCGCCGGCGCCGATCACGGCGACTTTTCTGTGCGTGATTGGAGTCGTTGAAGGGAAACGGAACGGGACTGTTGGTGTTTTTGGGATGTTCATATGATCATGTCCTGAATTTTTAGTGTTTTGCAGGTTTTACAGAAGAAATGAGGATATTTTTTGTTTTCGTTTCTTCTGATAGCTGCAATGACGATGACGATTATGTTCTTTTGTTTGCATTCTTCTATGATGGCCGTGTGGGTTAGACGGAGTAAATTATTCAAGGCAACAGTGATCTCCTGTCAACGACCAATGCTAATGTAGAATTAAAAAATAAATTTAATAATTATAATTATTAATTTTATTGATTAATCTATAATTATATTTATATTTATCTCAAATTTGTAATCCAAATTTATATTCCAAATTAAGGAGGACTGTTGAATCAGTGGGTCTTATCAACTTTTTTAAATAAGACCCACTNTATAATTATTAATTTTATTGATTAATCTATAATTATATTTATATTTATCTCAAATTTTAATCCAAATTTATATTCCAAATTAAGGAGGACTGTTGAATCAGTGGGTCTTATCAACTTTTTTAAATAAGACCCACTGATCTAATAACTCTCATTGATTTAGGATGTAAATTTGGGTTATAAATTTGGAATATATATTATTACTCTGAAAATTTGGATTTTCTATTTTATCCTTAATAATTATGATAAAGTCTATTATATCTATCTACTAGTCATAACCCGTGTNTAACTCTCATTGATTTAGGATGTAAATTTGGGTTATAAATTTGGAATATATATTATTACTCTGAAAATTTGGATTTTTTATTTTATCCTTAATAATTATGATAAAGTCTATTATATCTATCTACTAGTCATAACCCGTGTCTGAAAGTACGATAAAATATAAAATTCGGGCGTCCAAAAAATTGATCTCATTATATTAATTTTTGTCAAAATATATTAACTATAAATTAATCAAATATTAAATTATTAAATATATGATAAAAATAAGTGATGTGATATTTTTAAGAAATAAATATATAAATAATTAAATATTNCAAAAAATTGATCTCATTATATTAATTTTTGTCAAAATATATTAACTATAAATTAATTAAATATTAAATTATTAAATATATGATAAAAATGAGTGATGTGATATTTTTAAGAAATAAATATATAAATAATTAAATATTTGATAAAAATAAGTGATGTGATTTGATGTTTGAGTCTGACAAAGGGATGATTGGTGAGATAAGTGATTGGTGATGGTTTTGAGGGAGAAAATATGATTGAGACAAAATTTAAACATACTTTTGTTTTATTAAATAGATTTATTTTCATATAATTTATGTTTTTTACACTTACTTGACTTTCAATTTATTTTGAATTTTTTTATAAAGATTTCTAAATTATATTGAACTCATTTATTAGTTGTACAAATTACATATAATTATCTATATTTATATGAAAAAATAAANAGAAAATATGATTGAGACAAAATTTAAACATACTTTTGTTTTATTAAATAGATTTATTTTCATATAATTTATGTTTTTTACACTTACTTGACTTTCAATTTATTTTGAATTTTTTTATAAAGATTTCTAAATTATATTGAACTCATTTATTAGTAGTACAAATTACATATAATTATCTATATTTATATGAAAAAATAAATTTTTAAATATGTTAAATTATCAGATATGTGAATTTCGTCACTAGGTTGAATTTCACAGTCCAATATTTGTTATATTTTATTTTTTGGTATGTAATAACATAATAATATTATAAACGATGTAATCAATCTATTTAAAAAAATAAAAATTAATAATTTTATAATTTAATTAGATATACAAATGCCTAAAAGAGTCAAAGAGAGATATAAATAAATGATAAATTAGGTACTGAAAAACTTATATGATAAATTAATAATTAAATTTAGTAATAATTAAATTTAGAATTAATTATTCTATACCTAATTTATTATTTAATTTAATTACACATAATTTAAGTCCTTTATACCAAAAAAATATTATTTAAATTTATTTACGTACAACACATGTCGTGCATTGCTAGTTAATAATACAATATCAAATCAATCCCACATAAATAATTATTGAATTATACAATAACAAAAATATTAGTTTTTATATGATTTATTTATTTAATATTAGTTGATGTATACGTGCGTTGCACATGAATCATTTTTTATTACCATTTTTTTTCTTTTATTCCTTTATAAGTTTGTTTTTCAATATTAGAGTATCTCAAAAATATGACGAGGTATGTGTGGAGAAGTAAATGACAAATAAAATAGCAAAGTAACAAAATTCACTCGAAATAATGTATGACCGTAGTCTTACGTCCATGGTTACGAGCGAAAAATAGAAATCTCCTTAATAAAAATTATTGTAACACATAAATGATAAAGAGTTTCAATAGGTTTGCTAGTATAGTGAATATTGAAAAATGAAATAATTTAGGAGAAAGATGTCAAAAATAAAGTGAAATGAGAGATAGCTAGGATTAGAGGAGTGAGTTGATTGATATTAGGTTTAGGAAACCTAACATACAAAAATAGAACCAAAATCAATGAATCAATTGTAAACCCCATCCCAAAGCGCCCCTTGGCAACCCAAACAATTTCGCCAAGCTATTGTCCCTAGTAACATTGAGGATTTGCTTGAGCTTTTGTGCTTGTAGGATTTTTGTCATTTAAAGAACTTTTATGTAACATCTTNCCTTAACGAACCGATATTTACTGATAAAAGAGATCGCTCATGTATTCCGCTCAAGGCGTAATTGGTATAAAAAAATATTTGAATGACAAGTTTAATTATAGGACAAATGAAAAAGGGACCACAGAATCAATCAAAAAAGAACTTAGAGAGAAAAAATAGAGATTATCGACAGTAACTTAGAAAATACTCTGTAAAAAACTCTTAGCAAAAACNTGTAATCAGATATTAAAAGAGAAGTTTGACTCTATCAAGTTCTAACTTATAGCAAAAGAATTTTAAGTCAATTATACAAACCAATGACATTAGGCCAAAAAATAAGTATTAAATTCAACATGAATGTACCACAACATCAAACATTTAATTTCTCATGAAAACCCTTAATTAAATTTTATGTCGCATTGCTTTTCCTTAAACCTGTTTACTTAATGGAATAGAATTCTACTACTGCTCATCTCACCTTCTCAACCCATGCCTTTTTAAATTCAACAATGACATTGATGAATTTATTTCTAAACATAATTTCCATCTACTTTATCTAAAGACAACCACCAATGCAAGTCGCTCCTTGATGTGCTAACTGTACCACATGTAGACCAGTCAAAACCTGACGAAGAAGTTCACTGATGGTTTTGGAATGCAAAGTCACAAAATCAATCACGCAAGTAAACACATTTAAGAAACTAAATTATGACATATTTGACTTATACCACCAGCCACACATGCATAAGATTGTGAAAGAAGTATTATTCTTTTTTTTTTTTTTTTGGGGGTGGGGAAGGGGAAGGAGATGAGAATTTGAAACCTTGATCTAAAGAATGCAAAATTTTTACAAGACAAAAAATACCATTAAACCAAAGGTTGTGAAAAAAGTATTATTTAGTCATGGTAATACACATAGGCAAAGTGGCAATGTATGTAACATTTAATAACATAAAAAAATAAAAAATTAGAACATATTCCAACTTGATCGCAAACTGACGATTTTCTACTGTTAATACTTCACTTTCAATAATATTTATCTCTTCCACCAATGATACTATCTTTAGATTGCCTAACGATTTTTGCTTTTGGCCTTTTGATGTTTTGTAATTCGAAGCACAACTAATAGAGTTTATATTCATCTGAGGCAAGACATTCACTGTAATTTTTAAACTATGAATACAAACGATTAGTAAGCGAATTCATAATGTGTAACAAGTTAAGGTATGGAGGTTAAATGTGTATGTGCAAATCCACATACATGCATTATCAAATATGCGCGAGATGATTTTGATTGCGTGAGGGGAGCATACCCAATCATTTGTTTACTTTTCTTGTACTTGTATCGAAACCCTTTGACAATATCCTTTTCCTCACGCAAAGATGTTAGTGTTCCTTGTTCAAGTTTTACATTGAACATCAGATTGAGAAATGTAAGTGAATGAAAATTTATAAAAAATTGTCTATAACCAATTAATCAACTTGGCATTAGGTAGCATTCAGTTGCTAACGGATCTAACACTTTATAGAACCAACTTTGTCTTATAATTATCTCAATTCATTCAAAGTAGTAATATTAAAATATATAAATATTTATGTTATACCCCTCTAACATTTACAATTTTTGGTGCAGTGGTGATGGAACATGAGATCACAACAATAGACCAAGTGTTGAAATTTCATTGTCACCCTCATAATTAAAAGAAGGGGTAGGTAGAGAGAAAGGGTTAAAGGAAAGAGTATGGCCATGGTTGTGAGGGGTAGGTAGAGAGAAAGGGTTAAAGGAAAGAGTATGGCCATGGTTGTAAGGGGTAGGTAGAGAGAAAGGGTTAAAGGAAAGAGTATGGCCATGGTTGTGAGAGTTAGAGATATTGAATCTGAATGCATGTCCTCGTGTGACCTACAATACTAAGCAATCAACTATTTATCGAATGTTACATAAAATATAAACTCTAAGATCTCAATTTTGTGCTGCCAAACACAACCCTAAACTGTTCTTTTTCTTACTTTTTTTTTGAGTGTGGTTCTTGTCTTTTCTTTTTACCTTTTTTGGATTTGAATATTTTCTTACTTTTCTGGTTGTAATATAAAAACAAAAGAAAAAGAGAAATTTTCAGAATTTTGCTTACTATCTTATCTCTAATTTTCATAGAAAACAAATGGTAAGTATACCAATGCTAATTACATTTCAAAAAACACAAAGCATTAATTCTTGGTAATCAACACTATGGGCAAAATAAATGATAGAATAAGAAATTGACTGAGCATTAGGTTGAATTGGGGCTTTTATAGTCGCCGAAGAATTCAAAGAAATCATCAGTTTAAATTTGAGCTAGAAGAAAAATGAATTAATTCTTGGTAAATTTGGAGGTCAATCTCCCATATATGGACTTATTTAGACTTAAGTCTGCTAAAAAAAATTTATTTGTTATGAAGTATGTTTTTTGTCAATTTTATCATACTATCCTTTTTTTTTAAAA